TTTCAGCGTTTTTATTTCTGGACATTCGTTATTGTACTATCTCCGTCCTAAAATAAGGCATGCACATATTTTAAAATTTAAACTTTGATATCTTTGACTAAGGATTAGCCTAATCTCATATGAAAAGTTTATACTACGAAAGTACTTACATTAGATTTCTATTTAGAAATACTTTCTAATGGTTAAACTTTTGTTTCTATAGATTATATATTTTAAGAGAAATTATATGTCTGACCGCCGATGCTAGCTAGGGAGCATGATTAGCGAGTAATAACATATGATCTCTGTCTGCTAGGGAGGGCAGAACTGATTGTATAACTATATCCCCTAGTGTGCCATGTCCGTGGCGCATCGTTGTAACTTTCACTATTTCTCGATCTTAATACAAAAGATGCACAAACCTTTTGCGTATTCAAGAAAAAAGAAATTATATGTCAAAATATGTTTCTAAAGACTACAGTAAGTCAAATCGTGTCTTATATTTTGTGACGGAGGGAATATTTGTACAGCAAGTTCACATACTAGTCATGTTTCACCTCGGCCCATACTAGTCATAGTCATGTTTGTTGTCTCGTATGGAAGAAAGAAGAAACATTTATTTAGTTTCTTATTGGCACCGTTCGTTTGGCTGAAAAAACAAGCTAAAATAATGTTCTAGCTGATTTGTTATGAGAGAAAAACATTGTTCCGGTTGAAAAAATAAGCTGAAAAGTACGGATTATAAGAGAAGCGAGCATGACTTGTTTCTTTGTTGATCACTGATCAGTAAAAGTACATTTTTACTACAGAACGATGCAATGCCATAACCAAGCAAGGATTGGAGCAAGGATGGGACCCTCTTTGTGTTTACCTGGAACACTAAATATATGGACATATGGTCGTAGTTTGAGTTGTAATATATGTACTTTTTTTATGCTTTGGAGATCTGCCTTCGGTGAATGAAATAGTACCACCAGTATGTGGTACTGTCTGATCTTATATATCAATATCGTCATGGTGCTATATTACGCTCAGTAAATCCTCGAAAACTCTGGTGACACTGACGCCGGTCTAGTTGTCTGATTCCTCGTACAAAATCCCCTTTCGTCTCCACCGGGATACTATCGGAGTTGCCTTTCACGATTTTGGGCGAAGCAGAGTGAAGTCCACTGACTAGTTTGGCCCATCCGACCACAAAGTTGCTCACTTGCTCCCTAGGCCCTTGTTTTAACAATCTAATTGCCAGTTGCCATCCGATCCTTTTTTTTTAAAAAAAAAGGCTAATTCCCACCCGTAATAGCTTTCTGAAAAGCAGAGATGTTTTTCCGTTCAAAAAAAAAAAACTTAGCTCACCAAAATAATGCACGCCGCCGCCGTCGGAATGCATCTCTCTTTCCCACCGCAGCTTGCAGCCCGTACATCCCTTGCAGATTCACCCCTCGCCATCCAACTTTATCGCCTAAAAAGTAAAAACCAGTACAGGTTCAAACAGAACAGATGGGCCTGGAAAGTTTATGTCACTGCCAGCGATTGCATAAAACTGTGGTAAAATGTGGATAAGATAATGCTACGCGTTCTACGTGAGTAAATCGTCGACTGCTTTCGTGGGCCCACCGTCTCGTTGCTTGCGTTTTTATCCCGTCACTCGCTCTGCCCGCGAGTTGATTGCTAGTGGTGCTCGCGCGCTGTCACTCGGCGCCACTCCCACCCCAACCGCCGGAATTGACCGGCACAGGCGCTCTCCCTTCCCTATGTTGCAAATATATGTTTTCAGTGTTTCAGATGTTTCAGAGGTACGTTTGCAATTGTTTTATATGGATGTTGCAAAAATAGATCGGGGATGTAGCGCATGTTGCATATGTTGTAAGTGTTTCAGAGACATGTTGCAAGAGTTTGTTCAAAATGTTTTCATCTGTTCTAGACGTATATTGCAAGCGTTTTGATCTGGATGTTGCATATGTGTTTAGACATATGTTGCAACAGTATGTTCTAAATGTTTTATCTGTTCCAGTCTTCCGTTGCAGTAAGTGATTTCATGTTGCAAGTTGTAAATGTTCTATCTGGATGTTGCATATGTTTTCACACATATGTTGTGAGTGTATGTTCCAGATGTTTCATCTGTTTAAGACATGTTGCATTCAAGTGTTTCATGTTACACGTATTTCATGCTGTTCGGAGAGTCAGGGGGCGTGGGGGAGTGATGGTGCAGGCGCCGGGAAATAGGGCACGGCGAGCTGGTGGCCGGCGGACGTGGCGCACGGCGCGCTGGCGCCGGCTATCGGGGGCACGACAGGGTAGGGTGCGCCTACAGGGCGGGGCGAACTGATGGGGCAGGGTGCGCAAATGGGGACGAGTCAAATCGAGGCGGACGGGGCGGATTGAGCGAGTCATATTGACACGACGACAGCACGATGCGAATGCGGTCAGAGCGAATTAGCGGACGGGAGGCAGGTTGTGCAGGCGTGCACCGGCGTGCACCGGAAACGGCCGTCCGACGGAATCCTATTCCGTCGGACGTCCAGGCACCAACACGTACACTTCTACAGTACTTATTTTGGTTTCTAGCCTAAAATTTCACATGGATACGGTACAGACTATCAGCCGCAAGCTAGGAACCGAACGTCATCAGGCACCAAAACATTGTGAAACGCCCATTCTCCCAGCTGAAGCAAATATTGCACATGAAGATTACAACGCCTTCATCATGCTCTTAACAACTCCGTTCATGAGTGCACATAGTTTTACATAGGCGTTCTTGCCCAAAGATTCAGTACGGGGGGACACTCTGTCACTATGCCTCCAGAATGAACACAGATATAAACCTCTGTAACCTGACTACGAATCCACCCTATCCATGTTCATTTCCTGTTGTCCATGTCCATAGCTACAAAATGTTGGGTAAGTGGCAGCTGTACTTCAACTTGGGATGTGAGTAGAACACTTGCTGCAGAGCCATGTCCAGTCACCCTCACAGAACAATTCGTCGTACATCAGGCACATGAACTAATCCATGGACAGCTAAACCAAGGAGGGCGACGGGACGTGTTGACACCACCTGCACATTGGTGGTAGTGGAGTGGTTCACCACACTGCCACCCATGCAGGCATGCGCTCGTGCTCTGTTTCCAACTTGGCTGTGTGCGCAAGAGATTCCAACAATCTGTACAAGACATCGACACCCAAATTAAAGTTAGTACAGCATGAATTGCATGCATAAATATGCACAATTAAATTACAAAATATATGGAATCCGTACCTGTCTTGTATTGTCATACCACTTTCCCTTCTACCATTAATTTGTGTCTACATCCAACTAACTAGTTGACATTCTCTTACATTGTGCCCCAATGATGCATCAGAGAATTTTGGTTGCAGGTTGAGGAGAAATCCTCATTGGAATAGAAGTAATCATAAATTCGTTCCCAATAGTTGCTCCTAGTTTGGTTGGTTCTTTGACAAGATCCATACTGACATTGATTTGAGTCATGTTGACACCAATAGTGCATCTTCCTGCCCGCTGAAATTCTTTGATCTTTTCTGATTTGGTCTCTCAGTGGGTGCTGCTCCCAGATTCTGTGACAGTTGCTCTTAAGGATTGGTGTTCAGTTCAAGGTCAAGCAGTGGGTTGAATGACTCGCTCATCAGATTGAAAAATAACCATTGCCTTCCATAGTCTCTGATCATGCAAGAGATATTGTCAATCCATGTACTGCACAAGAGATGTTTTGCAAATAAGATGACAGACACCAAGATGTTCATTTTCTAATCTGTTCATGATCATGGAGGATAAGATGACAGGCAGTTCATTATGACCTTGCAATACAAGTGCAATATTCTATGCTTTCAACATATGTGTCTTGACATGAGCATTTGTGTACAGGAAAGTGCAATTTTTTTGTACAAGCAGCCTATGCCAGAAACAGAGCACAAATGGAACCAATAGAAAATTTCAACTATGGACAAAAAGGATAAATGACAATACAGTTCAGGCTTAGCTTGAATAACCAGATCTACTGGTTCTCTATCTAGTGTCAAGATAAAGAGCATGATGGCTCTAAGGAAAACTTAACATTCTAAAAAAAATCATAAAGCATTGCTCTCAAGGTAAACTTAGTATGGCAGGTACAGAACACATATAGACATAACATGTGCAGTATAATTGTCAATTGCAGACATACAGGAATGGTCGAGTTATTTGGTTATTTGAGCAAAGCTGTACACCATACTGATTTTGTTGATCGAAATTTTCATCTCACATGAAAATCACCATTAACTTGGGGCGTGTTTGGTTGAGCGCCTCACAGGCAGCGACTGAGCCCCAGGCGCTCGAAATTGAACGGCTGGGGATGCTGCCTGCACCAGGCAGCTCCGTCCGGGAGCAAACCAAACACACCATTGGTCTCTTTATTGTCACAAGGCAGCAAAAGCCATTGGTTTTTATTTTCTCAAAGTTCATCACAGTAAGCAATCTAATAATCTTCTTGTTTCTATTTCTATAGAAAACTAAATGACAATTCTGAGGTCAAGTCTCCAAATTGTTTTGCCACTGAATTATGTCACTGAGATGTGGCTCAAAGAGTTATATAGCAGGGCAAAAGAACGTTGCTACAAGCCAACAAGTTTATCAGATGAGCAATCATGTGTTTGTCAAAACAATTGCCAAACAATTTCTAAACTGATAAATGAGGATCATCCTATTGCAGTAAACAAGTTATAAAATATATACTAATAACAGGATGCTCTGTTAAGTGGAGAGCAAAGAAAAATTGTTGGATAGCACAATACTGCATAATGAATAAAAACTGATAAGAAAGGCCTGCATTCACACTATGCAATCCAGAAATGAGTGGCGATTCTCAAAAAAGTTGGCTAATCTTTGGCAAGATGTGGTATCCCCTACCTTAAATTACTAGGCAGAAAAAAATAAGAAGTTTCCCACTATGCAGCAGAACAGATTCTCTCATATCCTCGTTTCACAAGTCTACTTAAACAATCTCAACATCCAGGGCAGCTGTGCATCTTTAATTCACAACTTTTTGAAGAAAGATCTTGTCACATTCTGAATATTTTTCACCTCCAGCTGCAAACTCATGAAAAGGCTCATTCAACTCCATCCAACTCAAGCCTGTTTCTTTTGAGACCCTGTGGAGTTTCATTACTTCCCTCACCTCCTGAGCATCGTTCAAGTTATCGGATTTCATGTATATCTTCGATAAAAGCACTGATGCTCCATCATGATTAGGATCCAACTGCAAAATTTTCTTGGCAGCAAATGCACCAAGCTTGAGATCACCATGCATCCAGCATGCTGCTAAAAGAGATCCCCAGATAGGCACATTGGGCTCTAAGTGCATTGACTCTATGAGATTAACTGCTTCTTGCATAAGTTTAGCCCTTCCTAGAAGATCCACCATACAACCATAGTGCTCATGCTTGGGTTCAATCCCGTATTGTTGAACCATAGAGCTAAACAATGAACGGCCTTCATGAACTAGGCCACCATGACAGCAAGCATAAAGTAAATTAAGAAATGTCACTTCATTGGGTTCAACGCCTTCATTTTTCATCTGCTCAAACAGACATAAGGCAGATTTTCCATCGCCATGCATAGCAAAAGCAGTAATCATACTTGTCCAGGTGATGACATTCTTCTGAGGCATTTCATTGAAGATATTAAATGCAAGGTTAATACCCCCACATTTGGCGAACATATCAATAAGAGCATTGTAAATGTTCAATATCTTATTCAACCCATTATTCTTAATGAAGGCATGGATCCATTTGGCTTTATCAAGGGAACCTAAACTAGCACATGCAGATATGACACTTAACATGGTAACTTCATCAGGCCTGATACCACACTCTTGCATATCATTGAACAGACTCAATGCTTCATTAGGTTGGTTACTATCAGCATATCCTGATATCATAGCACTCCAAGATACCACATCCTTCTCTGGCATTCCATCAAATATAGAGCGAGCAATCTCAACTTTTCTGGTCCTGGCGTACCCAAAAACCATGGCAGTTGATGATACCAAGTCCTTCCTTGGCATCCCATTATATAGCTTTTCTGCCATCTCCATGTTCGCACAAGTAGCATACAAATTTATGAGAGCACTACTGAGGTGAGCACTGATAAGAATGTCTGACACCAACATGTATGAGTGGATGGCTCTCCCACTTCTCAAATGCCTTATATGCCCACAAGCTGATAGAACAGTAGCAAGGATCAATTGGTCTGGAAGAACTCCAGAATTCTTCATCTTAGCAAATAGAAGCAAAGCTTCTTTGTAGTTCCGAGTCTGACAATAACTGCCAATTGATATCAAAGAGGTCTATAACAGTTTGTACTTTGTAGTGAAAAATGCAACTGCCAAGTAGCATGCAGAATGGAGAACACGGACTAGCAGCAAATGAAATATTTTTCTAAATTATTTGTAAAGATGGTTGCATTAGACAGAATTTTGCTATCCATAGACCTTCTGCGTGATAAACAGAGATCTTTGAATAAACTAAATACTGGGTATCAATATGCCATTTGTGAAGTATATGAATCATGGATAATGCACAGACCACAGAGTATATTCTAAGGTCCCTTGATTGCATCACCTTGCAAATTAACAAGTTATGTAAAAAACTGGAGAAATCTGACAAGAAACATAGGTTTTCTAAATGTTTGAGATATTACTAAATGCCAAGTCAAGTTCTGTCTACAACATTTCCAGATTCGAAAACAGAGTTATGATACTTCACATACTGGGCAGGGCAGATCTGAATCATCTGGTTGAATGCGAACCTAATCAACTTGGCATGCAACATCAGCTTGTTCCAATTTTCACAAACAACTGCAGAAACAAACATATTGGCTCAAGAGAGTATACCTATCAAGCATGACGCCCCAGGAGACGACGTCCCGCACGGCCATTCCATCAAACACTTTCCGCGCGTGCCCCACGCATCCGCACGCTGCATACGCCCCGACCAGCGCGGTTCCGACGAACCCATCGTCCAGTGACCCAGCCCTGACCGCCAGCGCGTGCGCGCCACCGACGTACACACCAGCACCCTCGCAGCGAGCAGCGGAGCGGAGCAGCGCCGGAAGCGCTCGGGGCCCCGGCGGGGGCAGGCCGGCGCGGTGGAGGCAGGCGCAGGCAGCGAGCACGAGGCGTGGGGTGGAGACAGCTGCACGGATGGTGGCGAGGTAGGCCCGATCAGGGTCTGGGTGGGTCGCCGGGGGTGGGGGAATGGGGTGGCCGCGGCGGAGGAGGACGGCTAGAAGTTGACGCAGGTGGTGGTGGTGCGCATGCGTGTTCGGTGCTAGCATCTCATTGAGATGTCTGATGGTACCTTTGGAGGGCCAAGATCGATTAAGCCGTTTGCAGTTGAATGCTGACTGCATAATAATTAATAAATGACAATATATCAAAAAGGTCTCATAATACCTTAAGCTCAACAAATAAATCTGAAATGTGCATAAATGACAATATAAATTGTTCAACATAAGATAAGATCCTACATATATAGAAGATATCAATACTAGTCTAGGGCATTTTTCCTTTACGTGCATCATTTTCAACCAACTAGATATGCTGTGTTTGCAATGTATTCTTCAACAATCTTACCATTTCTTGTCACTCTCGAGACCCAAACCATAAAGGGTCACTGGTCAAAGTAAGCACTGTCACCATATGCTTCAGGAAATGCCATGAAACTGGCCTGCATCCTATGTCTCTACTAAAATCACAGAATACTTAGCAAAAGACAGGTGGAAGAAATGTCGTTTTCTCTCCCTGAGCACACTAGCGCAGGTTTCTACAGGCTACAGCATACCAGAAACTCTTCTACATGGCATTCATATGCTGAATCACAAATTCACATTTCACAACCACCAATTACTCAACAGAGATGATGCAGAGCTGCAGTCAGCATTCTGCGGAGGCAAAGCGCTTTAGAATTTTTTTCTTCATCTTCCACCAATGCAAACAAATTCCACTCAGTATAGCATATCATGCTATTTATTATTCCATCTTAGTCTCCTATGCCATTATTAGAAACTATACAATGGCATTCATATGAATGAAAATCAGAAATTGATACCCAGTTACTCACAATGATCTTGGGTCTGGCCTCTGTTGATCTTGGGTCTTTCCTCTCTTGCCTGTGGCTCTGGCCTCTGTCTGTGCCTCTGAACTCTCTGCGACTATGCAGCAAGCCAGCAACCGCCAGCCAGCACACCAATACTGCAGCCTGCACCTTGCAGCAGCAGCCGAGGAGGCGAGCCGCGAGCGGACGAGCAGGGCCGCGGGTGCTGGCCCGCTGGGGGCGACCTGGACACGTGGGCCCGGGCAACGCCCAGCGACAGCAGACAGCAAGCAGCACTACAGCAGGGCGCGGGATCTATCGGCGCGCCGCTAGCCCAGGCCGGCAGGTCGCCGCACGCGGCACGCCGCTGATGCCTCGAGGGGGGAGGCCGGAGGCGGGAGCGCCGAGGGGGTGAAGGAGAACAGAGAAGTGGCCGCCGCCGCTCGAGAGTTTCGAGTCTCTCGACTCCCTTTCCTATGGGCTCTTCGTGGGCTCAATTGAAGACCTGTTCCCGCGAGCCCATATCCGCCCCTGCATAGCGGCGGCGGCGGGCGGCCAGCGGGCAGTGGCAGCCCGACCGCGCTGAAAGATGGGGACAATTGACAAACGGTGGTAAACTCATTGTTGTTTCTCATAAAAATAGTATTTGCAATGTTTCTCAGACTGAGCGCTATTTCACCAGCAAAGCTAAGCGCCCTGACGTCACGACGTCCATGCTCGCGTCCGGACGCATTGTCCTCCATGACCGCTATCTTCGCCCAGCCAGTCATTCACCCCGTGCTGGCTCCCCCGCTGAATTGGATCCCCCGTGCCCCTCCTCTCGCCGAGGACCAGCCCGCAACATTGCGTCCCCACGTCGCCATGCCTCCCTCGCTTGGGATTGGCTCGGCTTGCGTCCGTGGGGCACCTTCTCCATGCACTGTGCTTTTGTTTCGTTTTCCGCAGTCGAATTGAACTGAGCGCAAGCACGCAGCACGCATGGATGGCTAGAGTCCCAGAGCGAGTAGGACGAAGGTCTACCTCTTTCTTCCTCGCTCAACAACCCTACATCCAGATTTATTTTTGTAACACTCAGATAAAAACAACTGCAACAACGTCTAAAAACAGATGAAACATTTAGAATATACACTTGCAACATAGCCATTGCAACATCCAGATAAAACACTTGTAACATACGTCTGAAACAGATGAAATATTTTGAACAACTCTTGCAACATACGTGTATAGCCATTGAACATATACAACATCCCAATCTACTTTTACAACATCCGTATGAAACACTTTCAACACATCTATAAACCATCCGAAACACTTGAAACATGCGCTTTGCAACATCGGGGGGAGGGGGGTCGATTCCAGCCGTTGGGGTCGGAGCCGGCGGCGAGCAGCAACACGTGAGCACCAGCAGCACCGGGCTTAGCTCGACTGGGTGGGTGACGCGCGCAATAGGAGGGAGCGGGCGGTACGTGAGGACCACTAGCAGCGGCGGCCTTGGATCGGCGAGGTGGGCAACGTGCCTGAAGGAGGGAGCGGGCAGTGCGCACGATGTGAGGGAGCGAGTGGCGAGGGAGCAGGCGAACGAGCGAGCGACACGGGACGGGGCGCGCGACAGCAGCGAGGCGAAGTGGGCGCGCAGTGTCCAGACGGGGCAAATGCTATCATTATCGTTATTTCACATATGATTTTGAGTGAACTCAGTGTTGCCTTAATGTGGCTTCAGATTTAAAATTGTGTTCTCTATCCTGTTACGATCGTGTCAGTTAATGATGGAAGATCTCTCTAAGGTCTAACTCTGGGAGTAACCAAAATTCAGTTTCTATGATTCAAAAAAATAAAACCAAAATTCAGTTTCGATAAATAAATAAATGACACTATTTATATGCATTGTGCCACAAATTCTGGCTTAGATAGCTAACAATTAGGCATTGATATCCAAGTTGACCCTTAAGTAGTGTACTACTACTGTAACGTGTTAACATCTTTACATGACGATTCAATCGCCTAATTGACATCGACATACATGAAATCCTCTTCTACTGCACACATGCGCTCGACAGCAAAGTTGTTCTTGCAGATAAGCCACGCATTGGTCAGAGAATGTTCTCCGCGGATCATCTTCTCAAACTCATCGCTCCACCATGGAATTCCGTCGAAGTTGGATGCACAACCCTTGCTCCTGCAGCCTTACAGTACAGGCATCAGACATGCTCTGCTGTCATACAAAGATGATTAGAAATGTGAAATGGTAAGAATAATATGGTAAATATTACAGCCATTCAGTTAAATTTGTTGTCACTGTATCATAAAATGAGCGATATTACAAGCAACTCAAAAGGGCTATAGCCTTAGCTGTCTCTTCTCATCCACAGACACAGGGCCACCTTCACAGGACAAACAACCCCCTGTGGTGGTATGTATGAAATTGGTTCCCCCTTGTATTTATGCTGAAAGATTTTATAGTAGAAGTTCAACAATAAGACCTTGCACATAATCACATCCTTATATGCCCAGCAAGAAAGGAGAGAAGAGATCACTAGTTGCCAGCATCGGATTTTATCGAGTTCTTCTTTAGCCCCTGCTACATTTTTGTAGAAATTATGGTCGAGACAATTTTTTGTCATTACATGAGTCGGCAAATTTTCAGTAGTATATACAAGAAATTACCTCCTACTTGTGTCGCCACAAGGTGGTTGTAAATAATACTGATTCTCCAATGTGCATTGTTTGTAAGGACAGTTTGGGCCAAAGCTGTAGGGTGACTTTTTTTATTTTTTGTTGGCTTTCAATTCTTAGTATGGCTATGATGAATTCCTATGTTTGAAATTATTCCTTGCACTGTTATACTGTTACCTTTCGCTATGCTTATACCTCATCAGCAATCCAAAAATTAATTCTACTATGATCCTCCACTCTATTTATTTAATTTATTTGTATGATATTGCCAAGGCTGTAACACCAAACATGTTTGTTCAAAGGCAGCTTGATGTTAGTAGCTGCCAAAGTGAAAACTGACATGGAGAAGTCTTGTGTAGAAAGAAGAATGCATGTACTTACCGGCAAAAGCTATTGGCTCATGCACAGGGCAGCACAAAAGGGGTGCCCCATCCTTCTTTTCATTATCAAATTCAGCAAAGAAGAGTGTCGGATAGGAGGCACTGGCAGAGAATCCTTCCCAGTGACCAAGAAGTTGACATGAGTGTAAAGGTAGCGACAGGGGGCAAAGACAGGCAATCCTCAGCAATATCATCGCAATACTCCAGGCCACCTACATTCTCATTCACACAGGAGATGATATGAAGATCATATGCAGGTTTCTGTAAAACAAAACAGGATAAATAATTAGCAAAAACTTTTATTGTACGCAGCAACAAATAACACAAACAAAATCATCAGTTCAATGAAGATCAGATGTACGCATCAACCGACCCCATCCTGCAGCATGTGTTTCGCCAATGCAGCTTTCACCTGTCTGGGTACCCTTCTTTGCTGAGCCTCGGAGCGCATCTTCCCAGCTCTGACAGGATAGCCGGACTTGTGTACTCGTTCAGGAGTTGGTGGCTGTTCTGGAGACATATAAACTGCGACCAAATGGTGCACATCTTCAGAGGTGAGCTGGTTCATAGCCACCGGATCTCCCTTCCTTGCAAGGAATGCAGCTTGCTCATAAGAGCTGGGATGCCATGCATGCCGCGGTGGCTGCAGCCATGTAAGCCTCTTGTACGCCACAACATGGGCTTTGCTGCTCCACATTTCTGATGACTTCATCATAGTGGTTGCACATACAATGACAGAGATGATGACTATCTGAATTGCGTTGGTGATGATGGTGTTGTCTTTCCCCGCATCTTGGCAATGGTGTCGCTGCATGGAGGCCGCGAAGCAGCAAGATCCCAGGACATGGCCAGGTTCGGGAGCCATGGGGTCATCGAGCATCGCTTTCATCCAGCGATCGAGGTCCCTGAGCGGAGATGGAGAGTGGGAGTCCACGTCCGAGATTAGGGAGAAGGCTTGGTGCAGACGGGAGGACAACAGCATCCAGACATGGACGAGGTGGTTGGTTGGGAGTGATTGGCGACCTGCGCAAGGCCGCCTGGATGGCCGGGGCATATGTGATTTGCCTACCTCCTAGTTCCGCTGTGGCTACTTATATTGCGCTCATGACGATGGAGGATGGTGCACTGGGAGTCGCAATACCAGAGGGGGGCAGACTCATCTTCCTCTGGTCGATGGAGACAAGATCCAATGGAGACATAGGGTGGGCACAAATCAGAGTCATCGAGCTTGAGAAGCTGCTCCCAGTCAACGCCTTGCCCATTTCTTGTACTTGTATTGCTTTCACCCATGGTATTGGAGTCTTATTCGTACATGGAGATATTGGGTTATTTACCATTGATATAAAATCTGACGAGGGGAAAAAGGTGCATAACAATGATGAAAATGATGTCTTCAATGTTCTTACCTACATGAGCTTCTACACTCGAGGTATAACAGTGGTAGGTTCTTCATGGTTTGCCAATTTTTGAACTTAATAAATATGGACAACATCAAGTGGGCATAAGGGAGGACGCATGTTTTTGGTATTATGACTCTCAGGAGGCCTTCCACCGCTTCGACAGTAGACTCGTAACCATTGAAGAGACAAATGCTACCATACAAGGTACGTTACACAATCACACATAATGGCAGGTAAGCATGGGACAAGAGATGACCAGCCTCTAGCAACAACAACAACAACAAAATCAAAATTGGAGGCTTTGTTCCAGCACCTCCACATTCGGCCACCTCGTTGAGCAACCACGTCAACAACTAGCTTGGAGGAGAAGAATCCCCCGTGTATCCAGCTAAGTGGGTGTCGGTGTTTTGGACCGGGGGGTCCTCAACCGACTAGTGAAAGTGTACTGCGTGTTTCTAATACCGGATGGTGATGCAAAGAGACACAAGGTTTATACTGGTTCAGACAATAGGTGCCCTACGTTCAGTCTGAGGGAGCGATCTTGTATTCCTTGCACCGAGGTGCTTGTAGTAGGGGCTTACAAGATGAGCGAGAGAGGGAGCCGGTCCCAGGTCTCTATGAGGAGTAGTATGGGTTGCTTGAGATGTTGATCTCTTGCAGTGAAGGAGTGTGCGTGTTACAGAGTGTTGTGCGTGGCTTGCACCGGTCTCCCCCCTAGAAGCGGCCCTGGTCACTCCCTTTTATAGTCGAGGGGAGGCACAGGGGCGGTACATATATTTGCTACGTGGCGTTCTTCGGCAGGGGCAGCATGTTTGACCGGCGCGGAGTGCCGAGACCGGGTTGGCCACTGTATGTTTGACCGGCGCGGAGTGCCGAGACCGGGTTGATGCGATGGTGCGGGTATGCTGATTCCGAGGCTACAGGAGCTAGGCCCGGTGCACGACGTGGGAGCTCCTGTAGCCCGACGTAGGGCATGGCGCATACTGCGGGCGACGTGCCGGTCCCAGAGCGCTGACAACGTAGAGAGCCGAGGCCCAGTTCGATGCAAAGGCTGGACCGTCGTGGGGGCTCGGTGGGCGCGAATCCCGAGGCTACAGGAGCCCGGAAGCGGGTAGCCGAGGCTCGGAGGGAGCAGTTGGCCTTGCACGTCATTTCCGAGGCTACAGGGACCCGGACGTGACTTTCCATGCCTGGGCAGGGGTTAGGCAGTCCGTCGTGGGCACAACGCCGAGCACAGCGACCGGTAACCCCTACCATGTCCTGTCTCGAATAGCATGGGGTCGATGTGAC